AATCCAATTTCGTAAAAAAAAAGACGACTGTTACGTCCCCTCTCTCTTTCTCTCTCTCTCTCTCACTTACACTTAAACAGAAACAAACACGATCCATCAGATCACGGCCTCCTTCGAACATTTATTATTTTGCGGTATTTCCAATTGGCTCATTTGCACCGACCGGGATTCCCATCCGTCGTCCTGGTTACAACCACACCATACACCACTGTAGAAGTAACAGAAGAAGAAGAAGAAGGGCAACGAACAAAAGAATATCAGCATTCGCACACTTCAAATAAAATTTGATTTGAAGAAACAAAAACAAAAAAAATTAAACGTTCTTTTGTTTCTTTTCATATTCACCAATAAAATTAGAGATTAAACAATAAAGTTTTCAAAGCAGACACTACTACCAATGTTCTCAAATACTCAAGATCGTTTATTGTTTCGAATCGTGAAAGTAAAGTAAAAGGACATACAGATTAGAGCACTAATTAATAATAATAATAATAAGACAAATTAAGAGTAAATAATAATGATAATAGTAAAATTTAATAATTAATATTAAAATATATATATATGTATCTACAGATCTTAAACTAAATAACAATAAATAACAGATAGTGTTTTGTTTTTTTTTTTGCTTTTTTTCATCATCTACTACCACTACTTCGTTTGTTTTCTTTTGTTTGTTTGTTTGTTTGTTTTTTGTTTAATGTACAACAGAGAACACAGTTAATTTGATTAGTCCATCTTACACAACAACAACAACAACAAAAAAAAATTTGCAAATTTCTTCACTTAAATCTAAAAAATTAATCAATTAATTAATATATGTTTGGTGATGAAAAATCACCGGAGAAATATTTGAACACGTTTTCGTTACTTGTGGTTAGATCTAAACATAAATAATAGTTATAATAATAATATATAGAGAGATAATAGGAAGATAAAGTTTCTAACGGATTTTTTAATGTGTTTTGTAATGTTTGCGTGGGTCGAGGAGGATTTATTACGAATATATAGTTTCCAACCACGAGTAGAGGAAAACCCTAAAGACTAAGAGAGAAAAAATAATAAAACTAAGTTTAAAAAAAGGTTTAAATTCAAGGTCGTGTAATTATTGTTAAGTCAGTCGCACGTACATCAGTGTGTGTGTGTATATCATTTGTTTTTTCTTCTTTTGTTTCTTCCTTTCCAACTGTCAATTTGTTTCCTAACCCCCTAACGGTTTACAAACTACGAACAAAAAAAAATAATAATATAATATATATATATTCATAAATAAATACAAACGAAACAAAAGACAACAGAAATTTAAAAAAAAATAATTACGACAACTTTCGATCGAACGACACACGTGATTACTGCATTATTATTATTTATATATATATAAAACAAAGAAACAAAAACAAAATATTCACAGGGGTTTTTTGCGTTTTCGACAAAATTTTATATAAAAAATAAACGTACGAATATATATTTATATATTAATGATTTTTCGAGAAGGCACTGACTTATTTTCATTTGTTAATGCACAACTTCTCTCTCTCTCTCTCTCTCTCTCTCTCTTCAATTGTTTTGTTGTTTTTGTTTCTTCTTTTGTTTTGTACCATCGCTCGTTGCTACACGTTCATGCGCTGCTTCCTACCAGCAGACTCGGATGGAAATTGCTGTTCATTTGTTGCTGCTGCTGCTCCTCGTACATCATCTGAAACAATGCAATAGAAACATTTGAATTAACAAACAAAAACAAAAGACACACAAACTTTGGAAAATAATTGAAGCGAGAAAACAAAAGTTGCTTAATTTATTTTGTAAATATTTCGAAATTGGAATGAGATTAAGTCTATGAAAATAGTCGGGAATCGAAGAATGTTATAGAGAACTTTGAGATCAAACGGGAAATGTAAACAGAATTTAAAAACGTAAATTAATAATAATAAGAAAAATGTGCAATTTCCGAAACGAAAACAAAGTTTTATGTGACGCGTCTGCCAACTTATAAATAACAAATATTCCCGGTCGCTTACATTTAGTTTTTTTTTTCGAAACGGTTCGCGCGTTCGCTTATAATTGGAAAAGTGGGTCGCGGGTGTTTCTAAATCTGTGGCCTGAGAGGCATTCCGATGCAAAAATATCTTCAAATTGATAGATTCTTTGCATTTGTTTTGTTTTTAGTTGGAAGCGTTGGACGGCCATATTGCATTACGCCATTGTTTGTTTGTTTGTTTACGTCAAAATCGCAATAGTGGCCATATTGTTTGAAGCCATCTTCGAGCTGTTGTTGTTTTTTTTTGTTTACCTCATCTGAAGAATCGCTGTCCTCTTCTTCGCTGGACAGGTAGGAGGAAACGCCTCGATCGGAGAGGGCGTCCATCAGGATATTCGTGACGGGGATGCCGAGTTGGAGGGCGCTGCGACCGCCGTAGGTGACGGCGTGCACGTTCAACTTTTTGCATTCGGTGAGGAGGAAACGCACCAGCTTCTCGTCGTTCCTCTGCATCGCGTAATGGAGGGCCGTGTAACCGCTGCAGCCGTCGCGAGCGTTGATGTCCGCCCCGTACCACACCAGGTGCCTGAGCACGTCCACGTGTCCGTTCAGGGCTGCCAAATGTACACACGTTTGACCTGCAACAACAACAACAAAAAAAATTAACACCTGTCACATTCATAATCAGTAATTTAATGATAATCCAATAGGAATTATGCACGAAAATTAATGAAAACCACTTAAATTCATTAAACAATCGAGACGCCATCTATCGTTTCAACACGAAACATTTTTAGCATCAATACATCAAATTTTTATTTTTGAAATAATTTAAACAAATTTCAATAACGTGACCTTAACTAGTGGACGCCATTAATTAATCAATTGTTTCAGCGGCGAAACTGAAAGCGACGTTGCCATCTTTCTCCGCATAGTTTCATTTGTTTTAACGATTGATCCTGAAAATCGAAGCACGCCTTCACGACGTCAATTCACGCTTGTAAACGAGTGTAAACCTCGTGATTTCGTGGGCGACTTTTGCACTCGCTCTTCGCTTCTATTTTCGCAAAAAAAAAAAACTTACGCACGCAACGCATTTATTTCGTTTTCCATTACGTTTTGTTTTTTTCTAATTCCAATCATTATCTAAATTTGTTAATATTTTCCAATGTTCTGATTATTTCTAATTGAGACGATCGTCGTTAGATGTCACCCCTAAAAATCGAAACGAACTTTTGTATTAGCATAGTCGGCCTTGTTTTCGCTTTGTCGAGCGGTTATCGCACGACGACGCGATAACCGACGACCTTTGCAACCGTCGATATTATTAGTATGTGTACAGGCTTGGTAGCGAAAAAAAGAAATGCGGAGAACGACAATATATAATAATAATATGCTGATTCTGGTTTTCCACTTTTGTTTCACAAACACTCTCACTGATATCGCTTCATTATTATTATTATCACTATTAATAGTCTGCAATAACAAAGCATTGAAAACAGATTGTCGAATTTGACAGTTTACTAAATATAAACTTGTCAAATAGTTGACAGTTGTAGCAAACTT